ACAAAAGCTGAAGGATGTGGCCCAAGAAGTCACCCATGAATTTGGTTGCCTTTTCTCACCAAATGATCAATCCTACAACCTGCCTACATTTGTCAACCTGACATCAACCAGTACACCTCATACATCTCCTACCAACAATCCTGAACTTTGCCTTTCCAGATCAACTACAAGATCCTCTGATCGAAGGAAATGCACTCATGCTCCAGAAAGGCAGAATCAATCTCTTGGACTACCTGAATACCTGACACCTATCCAACAACCACAAGGCCCATCCCAATTGAACCTTGACCCTGCTGCTGTTGACCTCTCCAGAATTCTACCTCAAAGAACCAGAAGCCAAGCCAGAAATGCCGCACCTATTTCATCTCGCACAAGGAGTAAATCAAGAGACAGACAAGCTGATTAGCATATATATTCATATATATGCCCCTGTGACCTTCCACCAAGCTACAAAACTCCGCTCAACTACGCCCAACAATATCAGTCTCTGCCCAGCATTTTCCCTGTGTCTAACTCAAAAGGATCATGAGAGAATTCATTCTTTTAATTTTGTGCTTATTTCCCCACCTCAATATATCTGTCGAAATATCCAAAATAGTGAATTCAGACAAAGGAACAATTACCAACAGTGCTAGAAATAATAAGTTTTCTCCTATCCGAAATTTGGGACCTTTACACCCTCATTGTAATCTTCTAGAAAAGATATAGACATCCCCAACAAAATCTTGGACCATTGAAACTACCATAGACATTGGAAATTTTTACAGTAAATCCAAACATATTGTTGACAATGTGCAAGCCCTTATTTTTAAACAACAAAAGGCTCAAAGAGACCAAACAGCAACCACAACCAACTGTTTTGACAACCTTTCCATCACTAGGAACAAATTATCTGAAGTTCTACAGGACCTACTCATTAGAGTACAAGGATATCCAGAGGATCTTCCCCCTGACCCTTCATACTTAAATTTCCTCCCAGTACTTCAAAGAAAAAATACCACTAACCACTCCAACAGGCATATTTCCATAGAACCTTCTTTGTTCTACAGAAGTGATAATGACCTCTTTCCTCTCATTGAAAGATTGGTCAATCACACTCAAATCCCTTTTCAAGAGAATCTTGAAAATTTGATTGCACTCATGGGTCTAGCTTCACAATTAACCCAGCTAACCACCCATCTCCGAAATCTTGCTCAAGCTCTACAGGATATTTCTCAATTTTCTTACCCAGGACAAATTTTGTCAGACATAGAAGTTTCCAGTGGTCTCAGTACCATATTTTCCAATGAGAAACAATTTCTTACTCCTCTCATGGAAAAACTAGAAACTCTCTCCTTAATACAGCAAAACCCTTTTAACCCGAGTATTTCCTGGATAACAGAAGTTTCCAGTGGTCTCAGTACCATATTTTCCAATGAGAAACAATTTCTTACTCCTCTCATGGAAAAACTAGAAACTCTCTTCTTAATACAGCAAAACCCTTTGAGTTTTGGAAGCTTTGACTCTTGTTCAATTGAACATTCTTCTGAACTAAAATGTCTGTTTAAAATTCTTTTATTAATCCCTATTTTTCAACAAGAGGACAAATATTCCCTTTCCAAGGTACATTCTCTCCCTGTGGCTAGAGATACTCATTTAGGATCTCCCAATTGGGAAATATCAACAACTCCATACCCATATTTCCTTTCCCAGGAAACCAATTATTTTGGTCTCAATTCTGAAGAATTGCCTTCATGCCTTCCTCCTACCAACCAAGGAAAATGTAGGATTTGTTGGTTTAATTTCCCTCTGGTAAGAGAAACTGATCCCTGTGTGAAAGCAATTCAACTTGGAAAAAATGAGGATGAGATTCAAAAAGATTGCCCTCTAATTGCCACCAAACCATCTGGCAATTCAGTCATCCAACTGGACAATGATGAATTTGCTTGTGTAGATGAGAGCAAGGGAAGAATTACCCAATACTGTGTTCTGTCTGAAACTAACAAAACCGCAGCTATAGAACATTCATATGAACTTCCTTATTCAGGAATTCTTTATTTCAAACCTAATTGTAGTTATACTGTCATCAGTGGACCTTTTAGAAAACCTGTTCCCCAACTTGACAATGTTGAAATAAACATTGTTGAGGAAATTCCTTCTGATTTAACAAAAAAGAATTTATTGGTGGATGATCTAACTGCTCTCCAAATCCATTTCCAAAATCATGGATACATTTACATGAGCATCTCTTCAATTTTGTCTTTTATCCTACTGGTGTGCATATTCTATTTATGCTATGCCAAAATTTGTTTTGTCCTAAACAGAAGGAGAGAAAATAGAAACATGCCTAATAGCAGCAATATTGAACTGCTACCCAGAAGATCTACCCTGTACCCAAAAATCGAAATGACTATGAATCCTACTACTGGAGTTTTGTCTCTAGTGTGAAAAAATCTTTTTTGCCCTGTATATTATCCCTGTACCCTTGTGGAAATTTATCAATATTTTTATCTTGACCCATATGTAAGTGTGTGTAGTAATGTTTGTGTGCAAAAGAAATATTTTTACCAAACAAAAAGAAGAAAAACAGACCAGAAAGTTTTTGATTCAACTCAGTTTATTCGGACCCGTATCAAGACGCGTATTTTTCAAAAACAGTATCAAATCATTCAAAATGACTGTACAAACGCGTCATACAAAAAATTTT